TCTCCTCCACAAATTATACCGACATCAAATATAGTGAAAGCAGGGGTTATACTGTGGGGGAGGGACATACAAAGCAACAAAGAAATAATCTTATAAATGCATTAGAAACAAATGCATGAAAGAAAAAAACATTAAAATACATATGTAAGGGTTCATTTTCCTAACATCACATTATCTGCCCTTTTCTGCTTGACTCATACATATACTAGATATTGCAAATAAGGGAAACCATGGGACCTATGTTTCTTTGGCTTGGCTTACTTCACTTGATATAATTCTCTTAAACTGGGTATTCTGGTGGTCTCTGGATTTTAACCAATAAGCTTTACTTGAAAAAGCCATGAAACAATTGTAAGTTATAATTGTTCATTTCAATGCTACCCATCATTCCTTTTATTTACCTTTGATTCTGTTACACCTCTCATAGCATCTCTTCCATTTTCCATCACATCCATTCATTTTATCTCTCATCTCTTATTCAGCAAAGATGAGTAATGTCTTTTATCATGAATATTCTTTTGTTCTTTTTTAAGATGGGAATATAAAAGGTACTTCTCTTGACTATTAAATTATTTATCTAATTCTCAATTTAATGTAAAGACTAACTTATTCTGAAATACTTTCCAGTGTAAATGTATTTAGGTATGAAAAAAAGTATTTTTTAACTAAAAATTCTCCCAGAGAAAGAATACACCTATTATTACTTCATTGTTTTTTAGATGCAACTGATTAGACCTTTAGTTCAAACATGAGTGAGGAAGACATGCAGTTAGGCCTGTGCCTTAAAAGTTACAATCTTTAAGAAAGACGATAAGAACAGAAAAGCTTCCTCTGAAGTACAGTCCAGGAAAGCTAATAATGGTATTCTTTACAAGAAATATTTCGGTCTTCTTTTTAATTAGAAATACTGACTTATCAAGGAATTCATCTCAGACTACATCAAGAGAACCTAGGAATGGATAAACAGTTTGAGTTAATTGTTAGTATTGTATGGCTGTCTAGGTCATTCCAGGGTTTGAATGAAACTCATTAGAGAAAGGAGGGATTTGGCCTAGGTGAATAAACCACTAAGGACATAGTGACTTGGCTGATCTTGGTCGTGCCTCATGATCAGAACTAAGGTAAGCCTTCTACTGCTTCTGCAGTATCCCCAAGGCCTGAGCAGAGTGGTCTGGAAAAGGTCTGTAAGACCCTTAGACAGGGATGAATAAAGCGTGTGGGATCAGGCGGTGCATGTGCAAGGAAGTGAAAGAAATCATATTTTTAAAAAACAACTAGCAACAATTGAACATAAGTAGACTAACCAACAAAACAAGTAGTTAATAAAAACTTATTAAAAGCTAGAAAATGAATTAAATACCTTGGAATTTTAAGTGTCAAGATATGGGATAAATTCTAAGTTAAACAGAAAGAGTGAATAGCTAAATTAGAAAAGAAATTTGAAGAGTATATTCAAGTGTGTAAAGGTTGTAAATGCCAGGCACTGCCATAAGCTTGTGTGTGTGTGTGTGTGTGTGTGTGTGTATTACAAATGTCTGTACTTAATAGGCTTTTCAAATGAATGCTATTCATTTACTTAATGCCTATGTAGCACTAACTATATATACTAGTGAGTGTATCATTTATCTCTTGTTTTATATCAATTACTCTAAAATGTAGTGATTTAAAACAAACTACATTTATTATCTCACAGTTTCTGTAATTCAGGAATCTTGATTATTTTAGATGGGTGTTTTAGCTTTAAGGAGACCAAAAAAGGCCTCTAAGAAGGTTGGAGCTCTAGTCATCTCAAAGCAGGACTATCTCTGGAAGATCCTCTTCCATACTCACTCATATGGCTATTGGCAGAGGTGTTTTTGAAATCTTGGCCAGAGGCCTCTCTTTTTCTCTACGTGAGTCTCCATAGGGTGGTTTAGTGTCCTCATGACATGGCAGCTGCCTTTTTCCAAGTGAAAATAGGAAGGGGAGTAGCCAAGGCAGGGAATATAACCCTTTTATAGATGAGGTAGTTATGGTTCTCTAGAGAAACAAAGCTAATGGAAGACATCTTATTAAGATGTATTATAAAAAGTGGCTCATGTGGAATGAGGCTGGCAAGTCTCAAGGTCTGCAGGATTGAGACAGCAAGCTAGAGACCCAGGAGGAGCTGATGTTCAGTAAGAGAAAAGCCTATTTCCCAATTTGAAAACCATCAGGCAGGAATTCTGTCTTACTTGGTGAAGGATCAGCCTTTAGTTGATCTGTTGAGTTGGATGAGAGTAGGACACATTATCGAGAGAAATGTACTTTAATCCATTTCCTGATTTAAATGTTAATACTGTCCAAAGACACCTGTACATAAACAGAATAATATTTTGGGCAAGCATCTCCAAACCCTGGAGCCCACTGAGGCTGACACATAACACTATCTATCAAAATTAACTAATACTGGAAGTGGCCTGCCATTAACATCTGGTGTTAGCCATATGAATATCATATTGGATCCTGTACTTACCCTTATAGTTGGGATGCCTCAATAAATAATTTCAAATAACTTACCAGGCAAGTTACATAAATTATTTAAGTGTGTGAGAGAGCATATTTTTTCCAATGCTGGGAACCAGGGTCCTTGCTCATGGTAGGCAAACAGTCTATCACCAAGCTACAGCCAATTTCATTTAGGATTTCTTATAAGAACATGGTGGGTGCTGTTTAAAAATTATCTAGTATGTCTTAGATCTTGCTTATAGGAAAGTATTAGGAAGTGGTTTTATGAAGATCTGATACATTAATAAAAATAAACCCAGTACTATGCTGCTATTAGTAGTATAGCTACATATTATTATGGAGAATCTCAAAATTCACTAGACTTACATATCCTTGTAATGTTCACTTTCTGAGAGTTACATTGTCTTACACATGTTATATGATGTTAAAATTTAAATATACAATCAATAAAATCATGGGGCTTTTTTCCTTACATTTAAAGAAGTGCTCAGTGGAGAAATGAACTGAAGTCTAGTAGTATCCTTTAGGGCCCATTGTAACAGTTATTTTATTTTTGCTTTAAGTAACCTTATTTTATGTGAAATACTTCATTACTTTATATTCCCAGTGAGAATCTTATCTCGGATTTGGCCAGATGTTTTGTATTGTCATTGGCATACTGCTCACTCACCCCTCTTTCAACTGTTACTTTTCAATTTCTGAATACTTGGAAGATTTAACAGAGGTTTCATAATAGCTAAATTTTGTTAAGCAGGATTTATTTCACATGTTCAGATAGACGTTTTGCATGTGAGTGGATAGTTTCATCTTGATCAAAGAAAAACCTGGATATATAGTATTTTACATTGTTTTATTTTTTACAGTTTTTTGTGTCAGTTGTGTAATCAAATGAAATGAGGACTTATAAAAAATGCTTATTTAAAAACTAGTTGTGGGCTGGGATGTAGCTCAGTGGCAAAGCACTTAGCCTAGCAAGTGCAACATCCTGGGTTCGATCCCCAGTACCTAAATAAATAAAAACAGCTGTCATGACTTTGTAATGCACTATGCCTTTGGGTTTCTTTAGTGGTGAGACCATTCTCATTGCATTGGGTAGACAGGTTTAAATGGCAGGAACATGAGTAGAAAATGCATGTTATGTATATTTCAGCCAGCATGTTGCTACTGACAGGTGCTCAATGACTATTGGTATCCTTGTCAGCAAAGAGAATCCTTTGACATTAAAGTCACAAGCTCAGATCTGATTTGGGGTGACTCTATTGGCAGTTCCATCAGGTTGCAGCTGATCAGTGAATGTTAGAGCTGTCACTGTTCTTCAGGAGTGTCACTAATCCCTGTAGGTCTTGGTTTCTCTTTCTCCTATTTTCTCTTCTTTTTTTTTCTTTCTTTCTTTCCATTTTTGTTTCTTTTTTGAGGAAGGATAGGTTAACTTGTCTTCTTAACTAGTCCCTCAGATTTTTTACCTCTGAGAAATAAACAGAGAGATCCTATAGGAATAAAGGTATATTCACTATATGCAAAACCACATACAAAATGACAAGCTACTTGGAAACTAGTAATGATTATCTTGACTCCAAGCCAATCAATGGTGGGCACTTGGGGACTCATTAAGTGGCATTTGTGGAATCTGTAGCCTCGGTTTTGAGCTATATTTCAGAAAAAGCAGTGACAGCCTTTAATGTCTAATTGACCTCCTCTCTTTGCTTCACTTTCATTCACCTTCCTTATCCGCCTGTGATGTGGTCCCTGATGGCAGCAAACAGCACTGCTCAGCATTTTGAACTTCTGCTCGGAGCTGCAGCACCTCAGTTTGGGCAGCTGTGTAATGGTTAGTATCTGAAAGTCCTCTACACTCAGCTTGCTTGTTCTGTTTGCTTCCCCTGAGTGAATTTTGTGCTGACCCATTATGATCCACATCTACTCATTCTTAGATTTATGGTTAACAATATTGTCTCCCACATTTAAACTTTTTTTCTTAAGTTGGAGAGTGAGCCTTTATCTATGAGAGCAAGGAAAGTAAAATGTAATGAAAAGGGTTCAGTTCTGCCCCAGCCA